TTAGTACTATTCTAAGCACTTTTCATCTATTATCTATTTTACTCTTCACAACAACCCTGTTATGGAAGTTCTAAAGTAAAAAGGGATTGAGTGCCCTGGCCAGGTGGCTCAGTTATTTGAAGCATCATCCTATCCACCAAGAGGTTGTGGGTTTGATTCCAGTTCAGGGCACATACCTAGATTGTGTGTTCCATCCTAGTCAGGGTGCTTACGGGAGTCCCGATCAATGTTTCTCTCTAACATCAATATTTCTCTCTCGATCTCTCTCCGTAAAATCAATAAACATATCCCAGGTGAGAATTTTTTTTAAAAAAAAGGATTGAGCAGCCCTAACCGTTTGGCTCAGTAAATAAGAGCATTGGCCTATGGACTCAAGGGACCCAGGTTCAATTCCAGTCAAGGGCAAATACCTTGGTTGCAGGCATATCCCCAGTAGGGGGTGTGCAGGAGGTAGCTGATTGATGTTTCTCTCTCGTCAATGTTTCTAACTCTCTCCCTCTCCCTTCCTTTCTCTAAAAAATCAATTATATATATATATATTTTTTTTTTATTTTTTTTAAGGATTGAGCAGCTTGCTCAAGGACAGCAGGGTGAAGGCTGAATCTGCCTTGAAGGCCATCTGATCTGAAGCCCTTACTTAACACTAAGCACCAGACTTCCACTTCCCTTCCTTGTTTTCTTACTTGTAGGTAACATTGAAACTACTATTGCTGGAATTTCTACTGGTGTATGTGGGAGAAGGTTGTTTGAAGCTTGACTGGCCGACTAAGGAAAAGTAATTTGAGTTTTAAAATGTGAATTGAATGAAGATGGCAGCACTCTGCACCTGTGTGCTGCTACCATTAGAAACAGAATCAATATTTCTGAAAGCTATTTGGTAACGTAAAATGAGAGCTATAAACCTCTTCTTGCCCTTTGGCTCAGTAATTTCAGTCTTTGGAGTATACTCCAAGGAAATAACATAAAAGATAAAGGTAATTTGTTCCAGATGTTCATTCAGGGGCTACTTGTATTTGTGAAAACTGGAAACAACCCAAATTTCCAGTAATAGGACAGTGACTAAGCAAACGAGGCCATGTAGAAAAAGAAAAAAAGAGAAAACTTTATAATCCCTAGAAATAGCACTGTAGACTACACTGATGTGTAAATATATATGCAAGAAATAACTTCACATTAAAACATAGAATACAAATCAGTGGAAGCATAACCTTGTACAATCAAGTAAGACAGTGCATGCATTAACAATCCCACAAGAGAACTGTGAATTTATAAAGTGTATCTCTCATTTCATTGTTGAAATTCCAAAGGTGGAACTGGCATATAGATTATGCTTAATAAAAAACCTACAGACTTCAATTATACAGAGATTTTTGTTTTTCAATCCTTACCCGAGGATATTTTTCCACTGATTTTTCAAAAGAGTGGAGGAGAGAGGGCCCACAACAGAAGTACGTGCCCTTGCCAGGAATTTGGTCTGGGGCCCTTCAGTCTGCAGTCTGATGCTCTATCCACTGAGCAAGCCAGCTAGGGCTATGCAGAGGTAATTTTTTAACTGAGACCTGACTATATCTCACATGTATTAATGGGCTGTCAGCAAAAGCTCATCTTTTATAAGGACTTACTATGTGCTAGGCACTCTTCCAAGTCCTTCCCCTGTAATCATTTAATCCCCTCATTATTATTATTATTATTATTATCATCATTATTATTATTACATATCTCCTAAGAGGAGGCAATTGGAGCTCAGGGAGGCTAAATAACTTGCCCATGGTTATGGAGGCTCTAGCCAAGGTAAAATTTCAAGCCTGGTAGACACACATTTGGCCTGTATGCCACCATTATGACACAACACCTTCTCTTTCTTGAAAGAAGTATCTAGTGCCTGTTCTTCCCAGTTAATGATTTCTAGGTTTTGCACTTTTCTTCCTCACCTCCTGTTCGGTTTATCTATAATAATAAAAGGGTAATATGCTAATTAGACTGGACATCTTCTGGACATCCTTCCTGATGCAGCTGGGACAAGAGGGAAGCCTTCCTGATGCAGCTGGGACAAGAGGGAAACCAGCCTGGGTCCCAGAAGCCAGAGGGAAACCAGTGCCAGCAACCAAAAGAAGCAGGGCCTACTCTTGCATGAATTTTCGTGCATCAGGCCTCTAGTAATATATAGATTCCTTGTGGAAAAGAACAATTACCAGATACAGAATTTGAGTAAAACACAATCTGCCTGCCCTAACTGGTAAGGCTTCTTCTGAGAAGTGAGACTAGAGTAAGGTTTTTTAATCAGGAGAGGGAATTGGAAAGGTTGGGAAATAGAATGCTACTGTGGGAAGATGGGATTCTTACAGAGGAGAAAAACACATTTGGAGCAAGGAAATACTCAAATGAGGTTGAATCTAAGAAATAACTTGCCTGGGGATAAATAATAAAAATAGAAGAACCTTTTTAAATTCGTTGGAGAAAATGAAATTCAAAAATAAAAATGTATGTTCTGCACTTGCCTTCTTTCTTATATTATTTAAAAGTATTTGTCGTGTATGGTCTTATTTAACTCTCATGCTGTAGAATGGTGGATAGCATAATTAACAGGTGAAGAAACCGAGAGTCAGAGAGTAAGTGGCTCACCCAAAGCAGGGTGCTTGTCCTTAGCCAAGCATGAACTCAGCAGAGCTAAACATTGATGCTATTCAAGATAGGAACAAACCCCTGCACAGACTATGCAGAGCTCATGAAACCCTAGCTCATAAGTATAAATCCACTGAGAAATTCCAGAAAACAAATCTAACATGAATGAAATCAGAAATTAGAATTAAAAAAAATAATGGGATCTGACTCAATAACAAGGGCAGAGTGAAGGCAGGACTACACCTAAGTTTTATGTTTGGAAGATGCCATGGACATGTAGTTGTTATGTGGAAAGGCACACAGCACACATCTTTCTATCCAAATCCCTATCAGAGGCACATTATTACAGGACTCTCTCATCTTTTGTACAGAACCCACAAAAGAAAATTTTTACATCCCATGGAAACATTTGCACAGTGACTTACATTTTATCAGTTCCTACGTTCCTCACCTTCTCACCTGAGATGTCTTATGAAGGCCTATCATTTCTTCAGAATTCAGATCAAATGCCATCTCTTTCAAGAAGCCTTTTAAGATTCTTCAACTGAAACTAATCCTCCTTTTCCTAGGTACCCATAGCCTGTCCTGGACATTTCATTGTTGAACCTACCTCTGGCTTGCGCAGCTCCAGGATGGAGTAACACGTTTGAGATTTCTCTCTATGCTTCCATGACACCAACACACATGCCTTGCACATTTTCCTCATTCACTGAATTGGTAGGAAATTGTCTGAGACCCTATCAGGCTCTATAGGTTTATAAACCTTTTCTAGGATTTGGGTTGTTCAAATTCAACTACAGAAATTATCTTAATAAAGGACTCTCTTCACTTAAAAATCTTGTTTCCTTATAATCATATATTATGTTGACCTTTTGTACCAGATATTTGCATTAATTTAATTAGTAATTAGCATTGGCAAATAGCTACCTCATATCCATAAGGTTAAATTATAAAGTGTCTTTTTTTTCAAGATAATATATTCTTTAATTTTGTACATTTTTTTATTGTTTAAAATATTACATATGTCTCCTTTTTCCCCCAATTGACACCCCTTCCAGCCACTCCCACCCACAAGGGCAAGCCCCAGTGTCTGTGTCCATTGGTTATGCTAATATGCATGCCTAAATGTCCTTTGGTTGATCTCTAACCACTCCTCTCCCCCACTTCCTCTGAGGTTGGATAGTCTGTTCAGTGCTACCTTGTCTCTGGATCTATTTTTGTTCACCAGTTTATGTTGATCATTATATCCCACAAATGGGTGAGATCATGTGATGTTTATCTTTTTCCAACTGACTTATTTTGCTTAGCATAATGCTCTCTAGTTCCACCCATGCTGTTGCAAATGGTAAAAGTTCCTTCTTTTTTATAGCAGCGTAGAATTCTATTGTGTAGATGTACCACTGTTTTTTATGTTTTGTTTTTTATTTCTTCATTGATTGTGTTATATAATTGTCCTCATCCCCTCATTCCCATCCCAAACCCCTCCTCATGTATGTCCCCACCCCCTGCTGTCCATCACCACTGGTTAGGCTTATATGCATGCACACCACTCATCTGCTGATGGGCATTTAAGCTGTTTCCAAATCTTAGCTATTGTAAATTGTGCTGCTATGAACATAGGAGTGTAAAGTGTCTTTTTTAATTAAATAGGATTATGGCAATCATTAAAATTAAACAAACTAATTTGAGAATTGCTTTTACCACAAATTTTAAAAATATCCCACCTGATTCTATTTTATCTGAAGGTTAGAGCTTTAAAACCAGAACTTCAGCTCTTTGAAAAGTCTCTTGTAATATGAGATGGGGAATAAGCTACTGGTAAAAGAACTTCAAATTTATGTGCAAAAAGTACATCACTTCTACCAAGGTCAATTGCTCTTCAGGAATAAAAATAATGTTTTTTATTAGCAATTTGAAATAATAATTAATATTCATTTAATTAGGGTTTTTATATAAGAACTGAGAAAACAGTTCTTTGTAGTTGTTATAAAAATATAACTGAAAGTGCTGAGTTTCTGAAACACAGTAATCTTTCTATCTCTCCTGTTTTCCATTGAACCACGTGTGGTAGTGATGTGATCCTTGATTGAAAAGCTTATTTAGTATAAGGAAGATAAAGACCAGGGATAATAAGAATATTATGGAGGCTTGTTATGAAAAGCAAGCTAAGAAAAAGACTAAGTAATTATTTTCAATTATACCACATTCTGTAAAATATAAAAAGCTCCCATTACATTTCGTATAACATGAGAAAAAGCTCTTTGATTCATGAATGGGCTAATCCAACAGCTATTCACACAATTCCTGTCCTTTTCGGGGAGAATAACAATCAGTAACCAAGAAGGAGAATGAAAGTCACAAAAGGCATGAAATCTTACTTTTTCATCATCTTCAGTAAATGGAGCACCTTCAGGAATCTTATTTATCGCTTGGGCCACACCAATAATCTCACCATCACTGCTTCTGATAGGCATGCACAATAGTGATTTTGTCTTGTATCCAGTTAGCTTGTCGATTTCATCATTGAATCTTCTATCCTAAAAATAAGACAGAGAGAGAGTATTAACTGCAATATGCAGTCAGAAAGGAGAGAGAAATGTACAAGGGTGGGTAAAAGTAGGTTTACAGTTGTGACTACGTACATGAAATAGTTAATAAAGCTATTGCAATAATCATAACCTGCATGTCTTTTTCCATACAAACAGCTATAAGTCTACTTTTCCTACCCCTGTATTTCTGTGTAAGGTACCTTATCAAGGGCAACTTTAGCCTACAAATTTTTAATAACAATAACAGAATTGACTTCATGTTGAATTCACTAAAGAAATATAAATGAAAACAAATCACTACCATAGTTGTTAGCCAACAGAGGAACTTTAATCCTGACTACATGTCAAAATTGGGGAGGGGGCAAGTGTTTTTAAAGGAACTCCACACTATGTTATTTATTAAAATGTGTTATTTCATATAGATACTTGGTTATGAAGTATTATATAAAAATACATAATAAATATGTATTAAGCACTATGAAAAAATATTCAGAAAAGCACTACTTTACTTTTAAGTCAAATGATTCAGTAAAAAACAAACCTCTGAGCCCATAGTGATACTTTTAAAATAATTTTTAAAAGTGCAGTAGGGAAGAAGGAGTTAAAAGGCTTCTTTATAGAATGTCAGTTAAAAAATGTAGAAGGAATGGTGAAATTATATAATATCTATTTATTGTAACTACCAAAATAATAATAGATACAAGGTAGTACCATCAATACAGGCTAATACCATTGGATGAAAGTTTGTTGTTAAACAGGATATTAACATAATTTCATTGTGACACCCTAAAGATTCCTTATTAAATTCAAAAGGAAAGATGTCTTTATCATGAAGAGATTAGTAGACACCACCTTAAACAAGTAACATCATCATTAATGAGACAAAAGAAGATTTTGTACCTCCTGATGAGATCCCATGGAAAGGACACAACATCACAAGAAAATTAAGAAAAATGCAGGCTGTTGGTCATTCAAAATCCTGACCTGGACTATTCACAAATGTCAATATAGTGAGAGATGAAAAATATTTAAAATAAAAATAAAATAAAGCATGGGAGCTGTGCTGGTGTAAAGAAGACTGAAGAGATTTGGAATCTGAATAAAATGTGTAATCCTTCATTGAAAAATGTTACACAATTCTTGGGACAATTAGAGAAATTTGAACATAGACTTTCTGTTAGGAAATATCAACTTTCTCTCAGAAAACAGAACAAGTAAAGCTGTGACTTGAATCATGAATAAGAATTGCCAAAGAATGGTAGAAAGAACTTTCCAGGAGGTCCTGAAGCAGAAATAAGCAAGTTCCCAAAATTAAAAAGTCAATGTGGTGAGAGCATACACAGTAAAGGGGAGAATGGGAGAGATGCCAATTTTATAGGCTTGGAAAAGAGTTATATTAATCCTAAATTCAATAAAAAATCATTAAAGATCTTAAAACAGAGGATTGCATGAGTCATTATCCAGCACTCAGCATTATCTTAAATTATCTTATTAGTTCATTTGTTCCCTTCCAACCAGTAGGTACGACTTAAGACAGTAGAGATTTTGTCTCTCTTGTTCACTGCTTCATACAGACATATTGGTAAGTGCTTTATGATATTTTTTTAAATAACAGTGTGTTTTTTAAGATGGTATGTACTGCAATTATACAAAATATAGAAAAGTTGAAAAGGCCCGACGGCCCTGAATTTCACTCCTTGGTATATATTTAGAGACACTCTGCACATGTACGGGAGACAGATACACAAATGTTTACTGCAACATCAATTGTGAAAAGAAAAAGTTGAAAGCCTTTGAATGTTGGTCAATAGAAAAAGAAACAAATTATGATCTTTTGTTTAGATAGCATAATACACAATTTAAATAATAAACAAGCTACTTTCATTATCATAAACAAGTATTAAAGCATGATACGTGAAACAAACAAGTTGCAATCTGATATCCTCTTTATAATAGTACCAATATTTTAAAACAACACTAAGTATTATATATGGATTCAAATATGAAGCAAAATTATAAAGCATGCATGGGAATAATAAACTCTAAATGTATATAAGTGGTTACCTCTAGGGAGGAAGAGAGGAAATGGCATCAGGGGGAGGGAGAGAGGAGGCTTGAATGTTAACACAAACTTTCCTTCTTTAAAAATAAACAACTGAAGCAAATAAGCACAATGTTAAGATTTTATAAACATAGGTGGTCTATTCTTATCTAAAGGTTTAAAACATATTTTAATAAAAATTTAAAGCCCATTTTTTAAAAAATTAAGAACTTTGTGGGAAATGACACATAATAGGAATAGGGAATCCAGTTAGGACATTTCAGTGATCCAGGTAAGGTGAGGGGTTGGTCTGGGTTAGGAGAAAGGCAATGGAGGTAAGGAGAATTAGATGGATATATTGAAAATTAAGTCTATATTATTTCCTGATGGATGATTAGTTGGGGATGGAAGACTAGAGACAGAAGAATGAATCTCAGGGTTTTAATTTGAGAAACGGTATAAATGGAAATGCCATTTACTGGGATGGGGAGAATGAGATGAAGGTGAAAGTCTATATATAAAGACAATAAGGTTGATAAATCAATTTATTAAGCAAGGTGAGATGCATCCTTTGATGACCTAATCAGTGGTTCTCCACCCTGGTTGCATGTGAGAATTAGTTGAGGTTTTCAAAATGCCAGTGCTTGGGCTCCACCAGATCCCAAATTGAATCTATCAATAATGGGCATTGGTATGAAAGTTCAAAAACAAAAGATAGCAAAAATATAGGTTTTGCTAGCCAAGCAGTGACCACAAGTTAGTGTAATAGTGGGGGAACAAACCATTGTGAAACACACAGCCAGAAACAACAACTAGTTGAAGATCAGCAACAAAAAAAAATCTCCCAAGTAATTGTGTGTGTGTGTGTGTGTGTGTGTGTGTGTCCTAATATATAAAAACCCAGGGTCCGTAACATCTAAAACGACCAAAGGCTTGACAAAAAGGAAGTCAGTGCTAGGTTGATGTGGCGACCCAGCACTGACCACCGCTCCTGCAGGTGCCCTGACCCAGCACTGACTGCCAAGGGGGCTGCGGATCAGGCCCAAAGAGAGGCCTGGAGACAGAAGCAGGGGCTGATCTGTAGCGTCCATGGAGCTGTTGATCAGCACTTGTCTCTTTCTTTTGATCTGGGCCTGGTCAGCAGCCGCACCTCTCTTTCTCTCGGGCCTCCACTGGGGCTGCTAATAAATCTCACCTCTCTGATCAGACCCGTTAATAGGCCCAGAGATTCTGACTGGCATAGAAACAGACCAATCAGAACCTAATCTGGTTGAACTGCAAAGGCAGAGCCTAAGGTGGGAGCTGAGGAGGAATTTTAAGGGCAAACAGCTGTTTGGTGTAAGGTATAAGAAAGAAGTGTAATTTTTTAATGACCAGTTTGGCAGTATAGTGCATATGGCTGGCTATCAGTCCAGATATAGGGATTATGTGTTTTTGTCTTCCAAGAGCATCTCCACCTGATGAAAAAGGCTTCCCAGCCCCGCATTTAAGAAATCCTATCCTATATAATCTATCTATGCTACTAAAAAGGCAATATGCTAATTAGACCGGGTCAACTGGCCATCTTCTGGACATCCAACTTCCTTCCAGACAAACCCATCGTGGTGGGGGCCAAGGCGGAGGCCTTATGGATGATTAGGCTGGCAGAAGAGAGCAGTTGGGGGCGAGATCAGGCTGGCAAGGAGGGCAGTTAGGGGTGATCAGGCAGGCAGAGGCAGTTGAGGGTGAGATCAGGCCAGCAAAGGAGAGCAGTTAGGGGTGATCAGGCAGGCAGGCAGGCAAAGGCAGTTATGGGCGATCAGGCAGGCAGGCAGGTGAGTGAGGGTGCAGACTGAGCTCAGGGAACCCTATCCCGTGCATGAATATTTATTTATTTATTAGGGAAAGGAGTTAGAATGGAAAATAGAGACTATTTAGGTAAGGATAAAGTACTCTGCTCAGTAATTTTTAACCTGAGATCTTCAGGAGTTTACCACACTCACAAGCAAAGCTCCATAGAATGCCAGGTAAGGAGGAAAGAGGATCAATAAAAATGTAGAAACATTGAGCCTATTTATTGCTGAAAATGTAAACTTGAATAGGAAACCAGCAAATGCTTCTAGTTTTATAATGAAATATCACATGGACAATGGTGTCCAATTTTTAATTCGTCTCCCTTGGATCAAAAAAATAAGAAATTATTTACAATGGTAGTAGAGTTTTCTAATAAAGTAAGGGCTTCTTTAATAAGGTCATTACAATCTGGAATGAGTTTCTTTTGATTGTGATAGACTCTTCTAGCTTTTAGCATTTTTATGTCATAATATTTTCCTATCTCAGACATTTTTATTATAACCGCTCTTCAGAAGTCCAAGGATCTTCTGAGTGCCTTTTGTACAGACCTATTTTTTGCGTGTGACAATCAGCTATAATTTTTAATGTTTAAAAAGACAAAGTCACAAGGCCAAAAGCATTTTTTGCTTTTTAGCAATAGAACTGTGCCCACGACATAGAGAACAGTAACTGCATACATTTTTGACTAGGATCTCGCATGTGCATCTTCTTTTGTAAGTTCCTGAGTTGAATGTTATGGCACAGAGCACACACCCAGAAAAGGGGTCCCACCTGCAAGGTCAATGAAGATTGCAGAAAGAACCAACTTCTGCAGTCTGAGCTTTCAGGTCCTTGAAAGAAGAGCTAGGTTCATTACACTCAGCAATCCCAGCCAGCCCCAAAGAGACTGGTAAGAGCGGGTGCCACAAGATCCATTTTATCCCCTATGTATGTAAGACTTCTCTCCCAGCGTGTTACCGTTATAGTAAAATTCCCCATTGTTCACGATTAAGCCAAGAACTAGTCTTGAGCACCATTTAACCTATACGAGTGGTTGCTTTAACCACAATCTCAATTCCATTTTGTGTCCTTTATAGCCAAGTGCCCAAACTCATCAAGTCTGAAAATGTCCACA